TTTTTTTTTTTTTTTTTTCTTTTCTCTATGCTTCTCCCTCCCCCTTTCACACTACAGGCGAAATTTCTGTCCCAGGATCAAATTAATGGTACGTACAGTTTTGTTCTGGTTTTGGGTTGGGTTTTTTGGTGGGATTTTTTATTTTTGTTAGCAAGATCAGTTTAACAATTTTTTTATTTGTACATATATATGTGTGTGTGTATATATATATATAAAAATATACATATAAAAGGCTTTTTCCCCAAAAGGCTCTCTGTCGGGGCTTGTGCTCCCCCACTTGCCCTCCTCCCAGCTCTCAAGGAGATCTGCTTGCCCCAAAAACAGAGGAATCTCCCCAGTTTCCTTAAGACGGTGCTGGGCACAGGCAGGGAGCCGCCAACGCCCCCAGACCCACACACTGGATGGCATCGAGACCCACAGAGGTTTAACCAGCCGCCTCCCAACCCCAAAAACACATCAGCCCCAGCGGAGCTAGTGGGGACCGGGAGAAATTTCAGGGGACCACCTGCCATGCCGGAGCCTGGCAAAGCTTCGTGGATGACGGGAGCGAAGGTGAAGGAGGAAGAGGAGGGAAGGAGAGGGCGCAGGAGGTACAAACCCTCCTTGCGAGGCACCGGGGCTCTCCCTGGGAAACGGGACCCCTTCCTCGGGCAGGGATGAGGAAGGGTTTGCAAGAAGCAGCTGAAATAAGAGTATTATTGCAAATCTGTTAATTGGCAGCACCCACGGGCTCAGCAGCTCTGCGGGATTGCTGCGGGTGGAGGGGGGGGGTCCCGGCCCCCCACGTTCACCCCTGCTGTAAGGTCTAGGGACAGAGAGGATGAGGAGGGGGTGTGACAGCACCAAAATAGGCTGATTTTTATTTCCCCGGGCTGCTCTGCAGACAGGACTGTCCCCACGCAGCACAACTTGCCCGTTAGCGCTGAGCGTGACGCGGCGCGGCGCCGGGAGCAGCGCGGGGAGGGAGGGTGAGGGACGGCAGCCTTATCTAGGTCAGCCGCATCCCTCGCTTATTTATCGGAAAACTGCGAAGCCAGCGCTCGAGGGGGAAGGGGAGAGGGCGAGCGAGGAGCGTGGGGAGAAGCGAGGCAGCGGGGATGCCGCAGGGGGACGGCGGCGGGGCAGGCGGAGGCTCTCCTCGGCCAAACTCACCCCGCCGACAGCACTCAAGACTGTCAAATGTGAGATTATCCGTTCTTTTGCCTTTTATTGAAATGCAGGTGGTGGTAGGCCGAGGCAGGGGCGAGCACAAGCGCCAGACCCTGCGCAGACCATGGCAGGGGCCGAATCGACATCCTCCACCACTCCTTAAGGCTCCTTCCTTTAGCGCCCTCTCCCACCCACCCCCCCATGAAGGTGGAGAAAAGTACTCTTTAACTGTATTCTACATATCTCCACTCTCAAACTTACTTCATTAGGCTGAAGGACCCCAATTAGCCCAGCTATTCACAAGCCTGGATTTTAATTGCCCTTGGCACTTTACCCGAGGTCCTCCCCCACTGTCCCATCATCATCTTTGAAACGAGACACCCCGAACCAGACACAATATCCCCGCTGGAACCCTACCAACGCCGCCCGACCGGGCAACGGGAGAAGAAACGTCACCGGCAGATCAATGTAACCTTACATGGCATAACAGAGAGTTTTGGTTTTTAATTAGAGTTCAAGGAATGTTTTTCTCTGTACGACAAGAAACAAAAAGGCAAGATAAAAGCCTCCGACCTGATGGCAGTGATGCGGTGCCTGGGAGCCAGCCCCACGCCAGGAGAGGTGCAGAGACACCTACACCTGCACAAGATCGGTAAGGAAAGTGCAGCGCTAGCACGTGAATAAAACACGCTGCCTTACGGTTGGAGAAATTCAACTTTTCCGGGGCCAGGACACCACAGGCAAACACAAGGAGGCTGCCTGGAGCCCAGCAGGTAATATTCAAGTCTCAGGTGAAACAGCCCAGGCAATGCAGCAGAACCAAAAGCGGTCACCAAAACCCAGTGTGATGTGCTGGACGGTGAGCAAAGTCAATCCAGCACACAGATTAAAATAGCACCAATAAAAACAAAAAGCTTCAAGAGAAGCGGCAGGCACACGTATTATGGATTCTGAGGCTGGGAAACTGTCCGGTCCAACCAGCAGAGGTAGAAGAGCACCGAAAGATATTCATCTGCAGATAGGTATAAATAAATTCAGAACGCAGCACAAAGGCCAAAGAAGAATCATGAGATAAGGTGGGCTGGATTCAAAATTTTCGATACAGAGGTTTCAAAGCACAGGTCTAGCAAAGTGATAACAGCATTTTTGGGCCAGGAGAAAGCCCCCAGGAAGGGGTCCACCCTGGTCCAGACCAGAGTCAGGCAAAAGGGAAAAGGTGCCCCAGGATGGGAAACCAGGGGGGAGAGGAGCGGGGTGCTTAGGTGTGGATCCGGACTACAAAACTGAGCCATTCCTCAAAGAATCTGCTCTTATCTTTCCAGAGAGAAACGCTGAGTTGGATTTCTCCACTTTCCTGAATATAATGTACAGGCAGATGAAGCAGGAGGAACCCGAGAAGGAAATCCTCACGGCCTTGTCCATGATAGACACGCAGAAGAGAGGCGTTATCACCGTTTCGGAGCTGAGAGCCAAACTAACAAGACTTGGAGAAAAGCTTTCTGAGGAAGAAGGTATTTTTCAGCTCAAAGATGTACCAAACGCTCCCCAACTTCTTATTTCCTTCCTGATTTTCCTCTGTAGTCAGATCTGGGATGAGGCGCTTCCAGCTGGAAGGTCAGGAAGGACCTGGGGCAGCAGGAGACAGTGCTGGTGCCCCCTTGGTGTGGGGGGAGAAGGGATGTCCCCCCCATCGTGGCCGAGATGTGCACCAGGGCCTCGCACCGTGCCGTCGTGTCCCCAGGTCCACCCCACCGCCACCACAGCCATACCGTGAGCTTCTGCCTTCGTTTAAAACACTTTGCCCACATAAAACCAGAGCCCCCAGCCGAGCCCAGCCCTGCAGCCAGCGGGGAGCGCTCCCAGAGCTGAGCAGAGCACGTCAGCGACATCAGCGATGTCAGCTCGTTGCAGCTAATTAGGCTCACGTGATGGTGAAGTCACCTCGCTCCTGTCAGCCCCCACCCGCACCGCGACGGCCAAGCAGACGCTGTGCCTTGCAGGAGAGGCAAAGCAGCCCCTCATTAACCGAGAGACCTCTTCCCTTCCTCGAGTTGTTTCCCCAGTGATGATTTTTCACCCTGAGATGCTTCACGGTATTTACAAAGCGAGAGACTGTCCCAAGAAGGGCTACGGGAGAGCGTCCGTCCCTCCCCAGCCGCAGGGATGCTGTACGGAGCATCATGGGGCGCTGGCAGCTTCCCAAGAGCACCGCTGGCGTGAGCTCTGCAGCCAGCGTAATCTGGAAGGAGAAGGGGACTTTTTAAATAAGATTTAAAAAAAAAAAAAAAAAAAAGAAAAAGAAACGGGAAAAAAACCCTGTCCTGTTTGTCAGAAGTTTGCCTCCAAGGGGCACAGTAGGAGGGAACTGCCAGGAAGCTGAAAATGATCAAAACCTTTTTGACAGCTGATTTTGCTCGAGGCGTTTTAGGGACATATATAAACTTTTTCTAACGCGTGTCCTGCTTTTCCAGCTTTTGCAGGCGGCAGGAGGGGGCCCGGGGCTGTGGGATGGCGGGACAGCGCTCTGCCCACCCCTCTGCCCGCCAGCCCTGGGGACGGGGCGCCCTGTCCCCTCCTTGCTCCAAACCACGTCAACTTGCGCCTTCTTCTCCAGCCCTCGCCCCTCCGCCCCCACTGCAGAGAGCGGGCTCTGGAGCTTGCTCATTAACGCTCCATATAAAGATATGGCCGAGAGCAAGTAGAAAAACCCATCGCCGGTTTGATACGGGCGAGGAGTGAGTTTTACCGAGGTTACGGGGTTTGTACAGACCCCATCAGGCTCCTCCGGGGTACAAGAACTGTCCCTTCTAATGTTCAAGTAGAACTGAGATGTAATCAGAGCAAAGCTGCTCAGTTGGGTCACCATCACCGGCTTCACGAGCGATACGCCCACAAGGCACATCTTCTGAGAGTTTTCTTTGGTTGTTTAACTGGAATGATAGCGGATGCAGCCACGTACATCTGAAAACACTTTCAGAGCTATTACAAGAGCTGAAGAGTGAAGACACGGAGACATTCACCCTAATTAAAGGTGTCCTAGAGAGAACCGCTGTTCCATAAAGGTTTGGGGAGTGCAGGGGGATTTCCCACTACTTTGTGAGTCGATGAACAGCCTCCACACCAACCTGTGACGAGGCACTGCAGAGCCTAACGCAGCAAGCGACGCTGCTTCTCAACAAGAAATCCCCCCTTTGGCTCGACACGCTGAACTCCAGCTCGCGGAGCTGCTATAAATATTTAATGCCGGAATGGACTCAATTTCATTAGCATCTGCGATTGTTCAGTAACTACTGGCACGTACCTTCATTTACAGCGGCTCCAGAAAAGCCTCCCCTTGATTTTAATTTAACGTACTTTTACCAAATGAGAACTGACACATTTTTCTTCTGTGTTATTTTTAAGCGTTCCGGGAAGAATTAAATTTTTTTAATTTTTTTTTTTTATTATTTTTTAATTTACGTCCTTCGAAGCATTTGATTACCATCAGGGTATTCTTTTTGAAAGGAGGATTAAATCTCCTGGAAAGAAAGAACTGTTACTTACCTTACGGTAACAGCGGTTCTCACAATAGCCCCTCATTTACCCCACGCCGCAACCAGATCCCGCCGGCCGCAGCTTCCACGGGGGCTGCGCTCCCCCCCTTCATACGCACCGATACCTGTCTGCCAACAGAGGGGAAAACAGCGGCTCATCCCGTACCCGCATGAACAGGCGAGAGAGGAAACAGGTCACGCCGCTCACAGAGGCCCTCCACAACTATTTACAGTAAAACAGCTTTTCTTCCCCAAAACCTCCTCCCCTCCTCCCGCGACCTTCCCCCCGGATTTCACAACTGACGACTGCAAAGCCGTTATTCTCTGCTCCAGTACGAGCGCTCTGAGTCTTGTTTAAACCACCACAGCTCGTTCAGCCCGAACAGCCGTTCTGGGGACCTCAGCCAAGAAGCTCATGGGTACAAGCGCAGAGCGGCCCCCCCTGACCTGCCCTCTCCCGCTTCAGAAAGGGCGAGGGGACTCCAGCCCCAATGGGCATGGAATTATGGAGGACACGTAATTAGTGCATCACCATGGATGATCCCTCTGTTTCAGTGGTCTAGCATAGAATCAGAGAATGGTTTGGGTTGGAAGGGACCTTGAAGACCACCCAGTGCCACCTCCTGCCCTGGGCAGGGCCACCTCCCCCCAGCCCAGGTTGCTCCAAGCCCCGTCCAACCTGGCCTTGAACCCCTCCAGGGATGGGGCAGCCACAGCTTCTCGGGGCAACCTGCCCCAGGGGCTCACCGCCCGCACAGGGAGACAGTTCTTCCTCACATCTCATCTCAATCTGCCCTCTTCCCATCTGAAGCCATTCCCCCTCGTCCCCTCACTCCATGCCCTTGGAAAAAGTCCCTCCCCAGCTCTCCTGGAGCCCCTTGAGGCATTGGAAGGGCTCTAAACACCTGGAAGATGTCCCACTAATGAAATATCCAACGATAAATGCAGGTCCACAACCCAACAGCCTCCCCTCCGGCGGACCACCTGCCCCGTCCCTCTGCACTCCATCCAGCCCCAACCCCGTTCACGCGCCACTGGCCCGAAGGCAAACGGCAACACACTTGTGAAACCAGACACGCACCCCTCAACATCAGCAAGCAAAAACCTCTTCTGGACTGTATTAGATACCTTATCAAAGGAAACGGCTGCTCAAAACGTTATCAAATAAAAGCTGCTGGGTTTCTCTTGTTCGCTGTAGCGCCCACCCACTGTGTGTTACGGGCGAAGAAAACAAGCGAGGGATTTCACCTCCTCTCCTGGCATCCGAAGGAGTATGGCATCTAATTCCCAGCTTCATTCAGCAACATTTAACATTACTTCCCTCTGTGTCATTTCTTACATACTTCTATTTTATTGACATTATTTGACAGGAAAAATACCTTTTAACGGTTTCGCTTGTACAGAAGAGAACACGTGAAGTTCAGTAACTGCCGTCACTGCCAGGGCGTTCCCAAAGCTGGAATGAAAAGCATCACCACTGCCAGGCGCCAACCGCACCGTTACCGCTTCTTTATTTTCAGCAAGAGCCTTAGAGCCCCGGCCGAGAAGGTATTCTTCGCTTTCAAACACTAAAGGCCCATCGATATTAGCAAGCAGCACACAAATCTGCTTACAGTTGGGCACATATTCTGCACGAGCACTTCGTTTTGTCCAAATCGAACAGGGACAGGTTTGCTATTCAAAGGGAATGAGCCACTCCGAGCAAGAGCAATTAACAGCTGATCTGGACTAAATTTGTGAATCTTTTCCATGTGGAACTCAAAGTGATGGACATCTCCGCTCCAGAAAGTCAGACATGGAAATCAAAGTGCTGACTGACGCTAGTTTAAAACTACTATCTGGATGACACTTCCAATGGATCCCAGAAGTTACTACTTTTAACAAAAATGATTTGAAAACCCAAATCCTGCATTGCTCTTCTTTTGAAGATCCCTGATATATGCCACTCAAACTTATATTTTCTTTTACTCTTTTCTTTCAGTTGATGACCTGCTAAAAGAAGCCAAAGTTGGACCAAATGGAACAATAAAATATGAAGAATTTGTCCGCATCATTTGTCTTCCTACAGTCGACTACTGAAATTCAAACGGGATTTGATAAGAGCAGGACCTGAAACTTTTTTTTACTTCAATTTTTCCTAGTTACTACTTGGACTCAGGAATCCTCAATTTGCCTTTAAAAATCCTTATTTTGCCTTGATGATAGTGCTTACACTTACACAGGTTCCCACCCCATTTCTGGAAAAACGTTTTCACAAAATGTGCACTCTCTGTTATTTAAATAAACTGAATGTCACATTCCTTTGTGTAAAATGCCCTCCGCTTAAAAAAAAAAAAAAAAAACAAACCAAAAAAGCCAACCTCTTATTTTAAAAAATTATTTAAGTCTACAGATTGCAGCATAACTTGTAGTTAAGGTCTCACAGTGACGGCGTTCCAAGAAGTCAGCATCAGCCCTAAGCATTAGCTGTTTCCACGCACCCGCGCCCAGACACCGTTCTTTGTGCAGAACAGATTCCCCGGGAAGCTTGATTATGTCACGACGGTGGTAAATTTAGCATAACTATGCACACCTCCCTGCTATTCCTTGGATCCATGGCATGATCCGATAACTCCCAACCAGATGTTCCCCTGTCACAAAGTTGTCAAGTTAACAGCCCCGCTGGCGCGGTGGCCACGTCCCTGTTGACTACCCAGAGCGACGGGAGACGGGCAGCCGGCAATTCTCCAACTCCATCAGTTAGTGATGCTCACCGGCTGCAGAGGACAACTCCCAACTCTACGATCGCTGTCTCATTCCTCCTCCAGCATACAAGAGCTCTGTACCGTTGGACCTGTGTCACATTATTTATTAAGGTACACTATCTTGCAACGTCAAGTCTCGGCGCAGTGAGGCCGCCCCCGTATTTTGAGGCAACACACTGCAAATGCTGTGCTCGGTAAATGTATCTGTCACCAAGTTCTGGGCTAGCTGCCCAGAACACACTCCTAGAGACAGCCTGGCAGGGAAAAACAGGGGCCATGAAAATTCAGCTTCTCTACAACAGGAAAAACACACCCCATCTCTCTCGACTTTACACTGATTTAACTCAACGTGACCCACAGCAGTCCTAACTGATCTTATTCTGTCTGTATCTTGGCAGCCTTAGCTGAAGTCCTCAGACCGGTACGAAATTTAGGACAACATACAGCAGATTCTCTCTGGAGTCAACTGGAAATTTGCAGAGACCATCTCTGCACAGCATCAGCGCAATCAGCAACCTGCGAAGGATGCTGGAAGAGCACACGCTCCTGCCACGTCTGCTGTGGCTTCTCCCCCCGGGAGCCCCCTTCCCCTTCCCCTCCTTCCACCCACACCTCTCCTTCCTTCTTTTAATTCTCAATCTTTATCACTGAAGCACCTAACTCGCTCTTGGCTCAATCTGTGAAATGACCAGCAATTAAATCGTTACAGCCGTTGCAGATATAATGCATTTATCCGCAGCACAGTCTGAACACCGCAGAGTAAGGCTCCCACCAAAGCATCACACATCGCTGCAACGCTTGGAATCAACCAGGACTGTCACTAGCACAAACTTGGTTAGAAACCTGGAAAAAACAAAGCGAGAGCCAATCTCAACCCTTTGAGATCTGTAACGGTGTCTCTAGAAGGGTAAGGTAGGGATTATTCTCATGGAGTATTATTACACGGGGGTAAAAAAAAAAAAAGCACAAAAGATTAAATGACATGCTGACTGCTCGGCAAGACATGGAAGAGGACCCAGGATGTGTCTTTCAGACAAAAGGCAGTATTGTGCTCAGCCTCCCCCGATTCAGAGCCAAGCTGCACAGCCCGCGCGGTTCTCACAAGACGGCAGCCCCAGACTAACCCAGTAAGCTCCGACTCGGCTCCTGACGTGCCAAGATACTGACCAAAGGCCCTCTGAACGGCAAAGGACCGCACTTCAGGGGGAAAGAAACTGTGCCCGATGTAAAACCGACACACCTTGTCATACCACATCCCTCAGTTCTTATATTAGCTCTTCCTACTCTACAGATAGAAAACAAAATTAAAAACCCCCTTGTTTCTCCGAAAATTAGAGCTACAAGCAGCTCAACCCTCAGATAACACTCCAGAAAAACACAGGGTGAAATAGAGACAGGATTCACTAGAAAAAAAACAAGCTCCAAAATACCAGCAAAGGATACATTTTCCCTTGCAACTCTCTTCCCACTGTTCACAGCTAACCTCAGTGTTTGGACAAAACCCCACCTACCTCCAACGCTGAGCCTCTGCGCACTACTGCCTTTTGGAGGTCTGCCCACAGCACGGCGTTCGTTTCTGCCCACCGGAGCCCTTCCAGACCTCTGCTACAGAAGTACCAGTGAGGAAGGGGAGCAAAAACCTCGGCTGCTTTGAGCATGAGCATAATTAGCTTATGAAACAAGGAGTTCGTTTAGAAGCATTTGTTTCCAATATGCATCAATAGCCAAATTACAAATGATCCAATACACAGCTTAATTCTTCCCTATTGACCAGAACAGTTGATTAACAAATCCTTTCAGCTGCAGACAATATAAAAGCTTGGATGTCATGGGGATTGATCAGCTCAAAATCACTTTGGATTACTCCAGAATGCGTCTGTATCATAACAGGCGGTTTCCACCCTCCCCGGGTGGGTAAACATTACCCAAATAAAAGCCAGCAGAAAGAAAACGCACTTCACACACACTCACAAAACAGAGCAGCGTTGTTAGAGCCCGGAGAGACAAGTGTGAGACCCTCAGAGCCAGAAAACATTTAGAAGCAAAGCGTTGTGTTCAACGGGCACCTTCGCAACTTCACAGAAAACACCCTGCCCGCCCCACAACCCCCGCAGGAAACACAACGTAACTGAATGCTTTTTATTACATCTAAAGATTTCTACATAAACAGGTAACATTCAATAGGTAAACCATTTTTTTTTTTCCAATGCATATAATAAATATTTTCACTTGGTACTTTTATACAAACTGACATTGGTCTACTATACATTTTTAAAAGCCATTTACTGGTTTGGCATGCCGTATGGAAACTAAGAGAAAGTTTTAAGGCAATGAATGACAGATTTAAATTCATGGAATTAATGGTAATTTTAATATTCTGCTTATATACATTTTTCCCTTTGTTAATTAAAACAATTAACAGCAGCACTTTCGGGGACCACCAGCAATTTTCCCTTGTTAGAAATCTAAGCTCTGTTTAAAAAAAAAAAAAAAAAAAGAAAGAAAGAAAGAAAGAAAAAACACAGTTACACTGACAAAACAAAATCCTTTCTATTTAAAATGTGCTTAAAACCCTGAAATGTTAAACTGCAACAAAGAGTTAGTTTTCAAAACGTTCTCCTCACAGTCCTTAGCTCTGCGTTGGGAGGCAGGTCCAAGAGAGTCCAATGAAAATCAGTCATCCCGTCCGTGAAAGGCTTATTGAATCCTCGCCAGGGAGAGGAAGGGGCAAGCCTGGAATTGCTGTCACCTCTATTGTTATGGAAGTGCCACAAAGGTGGTTTTTTTTTTTTAAACACACAGCATAGGTTATAGCTTAGCGTGGTTTTTCATCTTCTAAAGGATGCATCACCAATACCTTCCAGAGCAATTCAAAGCCACTTCCACCCCGCGATTCCAAGAGCTGCGTATTCACGTCCGTCTGTGTACGTACAGGTGCAGACACAGCACCACACGTAACAACACAGCACCACACGTAACACGTGTGCGCACACCCCACTCCTCCAGCGGAAGCATCTGAGGACAAGAGACCGCTAGTCTGAGGATCACGGAAACTTGGCAAGCTGCAGCGAGCGGAGCAGTACCGCGAGCCAGGATGCCCTGGGTTGCTTCACTGCACCTTTGATAATAGGTGAACTAACGGAAACGGAGTTTTGGAGTGACATTTGCAGGGAACTTGTCGAGAACTCAGCCTGAGACTTCTACCAAGCAATGTTAACTGTGGTCAGAGGCACAGAGAATTATCAACTATAAAGAACACCCTAGCATGAAACAGGAATACTCACAAAGCATATGGGATTAATACCACAAAGGAGGACTTGAGAACGTTTCTGTCCCTTCTCTGTAGAGCAATGAGGTTAAAAAATGACAACGGTGAACTGAACAGCCTTCCTTCCCTTCGGGGTGACTTGTGAGGACATGGAAGACATCATCAGCTGACCTCGCTTTCCAAAAGCCAAGACAGGCACAAAGATGCCAGATTCTGTGTTACCACACACTCGCCACATTTAATTTTATATGTGAATTAACAAGATTTTAATACCATCGTCAAAAGTGACAGAAGCTGCTTTTCAGGTCATCTTTAACAATACAGTCAATGGAAACGTTGCCACAATCGTCGGTAAAACAGCCACAAGCTCTCCTGAACTTCTCTTAGGTGTTTCGGAAGCCGGGGACGCGCACGCTCCCAGTTACACCGACGGCAGTCGTACTCCAGATTTACAAACGGTATTATAGCAAAGCATATGCTCTGAAGTTACCAGGTTAGTATTCATGACTAAAATGTATGAGATATATTCCTAATGTAGGTTTAATCACTTCAAAATCAGACTGAGTTTAAAAAATAAGTATTTCCCATTTTCTATCCTTTTATTTATTTTTTTTTAACTGACATTTAATAAATTATAAAATTGGTGTATGGTGAAATATATATATCAGCCAGATATGTATGAAATACACATGCATGGGAAAAACTATTTAACTCACTTTTAACTCACACACACAGATCTATAAATACATATATACACACACATATACATATAAACACAAACATTTGTTTTCAAAATTCAAGTCAACTATTTAGTGGCAGAGGGATGCTGTAAAAACACTAAAAACAATTTTGATGCCACATAATGTGAACCTTTCAAATAACCATACGACTGATCATACAGCGATACCTAATGCTACGTGGATTAAAGATTTTTTTCTTTTTTTTTTTTTCTCCTTTTTTTCCTTTTTTTTTTTTTCTTTTTTAATCAATGCAAGATTTTGAGACAACTTCATAGGCAAAAGGTGGCCCTTGTCAATGCTCAAAGCAACTAGCTGCAATCAACAGTT